AAGTTTGTGCCTTTGACTTACCCAGAAGTTGAACCACAACCTCAGAATCGCGTACACCCCAATCCCAACAGGTGCGCAGCGCAATATACAAAATGTTGTGATATTTTCCCATGAGGCAGACCTGCAAAAAGGACACGTTTACATATTCTTCTAAAAGTAACAAAGTTTGTTTTTTTGTTGTTGTCTTTTCACATAGAGTGCATTTAAATTTAAATGAAATTCGAGCCAAGCTTTCGGACCATGTGCCGCAAATTACGCTGGCATTAGGATGGGACTTAAGAGCTAAGCATTAATCTCAGCTATGTGCATGGGTCTGACATAATACCGGGTCTTACAGGAAACATATACCTCAGCTACCTGAGATTATTGATTCTTCGTTATGTGCTATAAATTAGAAGCTTGCCAATAAATATGTAAATGCGTATTTTGGGTATTTAATGTCAAAGAAATTGTTTCAACTTTTTTTTACAATATTGGTAAAGGGAAGAGAAAATGCTAACTTTGGTCATCTGATAGCTCTTAAGAATGTTAAAATTGGTAAAGTTTTTGAACAGTGAACATATTTTCTAGAAAAGCTAATTTAGGTTCAAGTATTTTGGCTATAAAAGTATTACATTAATTTTTTAAAAAAGGCTGAAATACTTGAAGAGAAATACAAATACATCTAAATTTCTTTTAAGTTTCTCCTACATATTTACTTTCACTTGACCTTTTGGTCCTCTACATTGCAGATAGGCAGTTTGACATACTTAAACTTTTATTATAAAGTTACTATGTTGAACATACATCAGGACATATGAACAGTGAATCTTGACAAGTTTTATAGTGAAACAAATATCACAGAACTATAAAGCTATTACACTGCACATAAAAGTGAGAGAGACCCCTATAATCAAAATGGGAATCTAAGAGAAAAAAAAAACGAGATGTACATTAAAATATTGCCGAATGATTGTTGAATCTTACATTTCCATTGCTCTGCTTGGCCAGTCGATGGAACCGCAGGGCGGCTGTGACCGCAATGCTGGCCGCCTCATCGGTGGCCACATTCTGGCCATCGGCACAGCCCTTGACAATGGCGCTGAGGTGATCGAGGACGTCGCGACGCGACTGCCGGTCCTGGAGTCCGTTGCGGGTGATGTGCTCGAAGGTGTCGTTGAAGAAGCACTCGAAGATGTAGTCCATGACCAGTCGGCGTCGCGGCAGCTGTCCGTGGCGCTGGTAACTGGCTCGGCTGCTCGCCACCCGGGGCTGGCCGACCAATAGCCGGAAGCCAGACAAATGTTGCGGCAATGTCACCAGCCACAGCGAAGCCAATTGTCGTTTTAATTGACTTACGTACTGCTGCAATGCCAGCAGCAGCTGCAACAACATGTTAGCAAATCAAAACGGTTAATGTCGAACAAATGCAATTTCCGGCCAAGTTAATGGGTAAATTTTGAAAACACCAAAATACGTTAAACAAAGTTCGGCACACGGAAGTTGAATGAAAGCAAAACAACGCGGGCGACAGAGACGGACAACAGTTCGCTTCTAGGGGGTGAGCGGCACACACACATAGTGAGCGAGAGAGAGTGAGAGAGAGAGAGCGCGATTGTGTGTGAGCGTCAACTCTGCTGCTCTACGCGCTCTCTGCTCTCCTTATTGATTTTTTCATGCTGGCAACGATACGCGCAAAGAAAAACAAAAACAAAACGGCAAACGGTAAACGAAAACAATGCGTAAACAAACAACACTATTCACATTTTATTTGCATTTAATTAAGTCGGGGAAATAGCGTGCAATGAGCTGAATCAAGTTTTAATATATTCCACTTGTAATTTGTTGGGCTATATATCTGATTCTGAGCGAATTTCATGCAGCAACAGGTGGAACTTAAATTTTGCCTACTTTTGCAGTTTTCTGTCAACTTACATAACTTTCTGCTGCATTTAGCCAAATTATTTGCCGTTCTTCACTCTCAACACGCAACGTTCAATTCAATAATTCGAGCTGTTCAAACGCCGACAAGCAACTGAACAAAACAACATAACCAACAAATGCTCATATCAAATGCTCAGCTGTTTTTACCTGCTCGCCGCGCTCTGCCGCTCTGCTGCTTTCTCTCTCTCTCTCTCCCTCTCTCTTTATGTGGCCTGGCTCACCCACACGTACTTAAATTTCAGCTCGCTTTCACTCTCGCTCTCTCGCTCTCTTTTCTTTAAGGTTCGTTTATATTGAATTAAATTTTTTGAATCCCTTTCAAGTTTGAAACGAAGATTCCAATCGTCTTACTTATATGTATATAAGTAACTACAGTTGTGCAAAAATTCCTCTGAATGCCCACCCCCAATACATAATTTGTATGGAAATAGTTTTAATTGAAATGCGGTTTTTAAGAGTCATTTAAATGTTTTTTTTTTTTTTCTCAAAAATTTTTATGATATATGTTATGATATATGTTCGCAAAATATTTATGATATATGTTAATAAATTCAATTGAAATGCAGACAATTTTTTAATATATTTATTTATAGATATATTCAATATTTTTTTGCCCCTGTCTGGCTGGTAATTTGATTTATTTGCATATGTTAATTGAATTTCAGTTTCTCATTTTTTCACAATTTATTCGAGGTAAGGAGAGACGCTTCAATGTTATTTATTTGTGGCTCTGTTCATAATGTATCGTGATATATGCATATTCAGTGCCAGCATATCAATTACACAGCTTCCATATTCATATTGTATTCGCGCGATATCTTCAATATTTACGCAGCAAATTACACTCGATGCAAATTTGTGTTTTAATGAAGATATTAATTAAATCCAATCACAGTGGAGGGCCAGGCACGTGCAGCAATTCGTTACTACTGTCTGCTTGCATCTGGAGGCAGCTCCTTAATCGCTTAAATAAACAGAAGTTGATTAAGAATGGACGCTAGCTACAGTTGCATGACTGCTATAGACCCTGTAACACAGATTAACAGAGAGATTTATAAAAAAATAAATAAAATAATTAAACAAAAAGACAATATAGAAATATATTGTATATATTCAAGTTGAGGTACTACTATATACCCTGTAATCTAGTTTGAAGTGGTACGCAATTAAAATACTTATTATGAAGTAATTTTGAAAATCATTAATCATTCGTTGACAAATACTAAGATAATAAGAAGAAACATTACAATATACCCCACTCTTCACATCTCATGCATACAGGGTATGCGGCTGATAAAACTCTTACAATCTTACAATGTGCAGTCCATTAAAAAGCGCAAAGACATCAATTTCACCTGTGACTTTTATTATATTGTTCCACTTAAGGGCTGGCCCATCCATCCATCGAATATTCTGTCCGAAATGCAAACCGCGTATCGAACTGTAAAAAGCTGCCAAATAAATTGAATTAAATGTGCATGCAATCAGCCATTGAGCACTATAATCAAGTAGATGCAGCAAGGTAACCCACACACACACACACACACACATTCACACACTTACACACATTTGTTGTGTGAGGTATTCAAATAAATTGTGGTGCAACTGCACCAAAAACGGAAACGGAAATGCGACCACAACAAGCGCCACGTACGCCGCCAGACAAATTCGATATATGCAAATACAAAAAAAAGAGTAAAATAAAAGTAAAAACTGAGAGAGAAATGTATTGAAATCTGAAAAATTGAGCAGAAATGTGTGCGAAATAAATTCAATGGGAAAACACACAAAGCAGATATTTACATAAATTTGTGACAGGAAACAAATAAATTGCACTTGGCGACAGCAAAACTAGCGAAAATGTGCAAAGTTTTAGAGATTTCGGAATGAATTTATATATGCGACAATTTGCTTTGCTTTGGCAAGACACAAATATGAAAATTTATTTAAATTATTTCAAATGTTTAACGAGGACGACAGTATGTACGAAACTGAAATGTACTTTGACTTCAGTTGGCGAACTTTGCAAATTTCAGTCTGCTAATTCGTCACAACTTTTCCGAGAGGATAATTTGAGTCTTTATTAATTTCCTAATTAGTTTTTATGCAGTTGATTCCAATCTTACAGTCTCGTGCTTCATGTATAAGCATCTCTGTGCCATATGGGAACTTAGCAGCTCATTTACTTAACTCATTAACTCCTTAAATTCGTTTGCTAGTGTGAATATTCTACCTCAGCACTCATCAATTCGAATTTCGGTATTTTTCTCTCATACATGCAGATCTCTACTACATAATTAACAAATTTGTTTTTCTTCGAAATCAACTCTTCATCTCAAATGAACAACAACAGCTTTGAATATTCAATTTTAATGCCCTCAAATACTGCTTTACGTAAATAAATTTTAGTTTAATTCCAACGACCAGCATCTTCTATGTTGTGTTATGTTTTGTCGAATATAATAATAAACTTTAAGTTTTAATCACACTTTAAGCAATGAGTCAACCCTGAATCAATAACTTTTTGTGCTGCTCTGGCTGCAGCATTTAAGACTTTAAATATATATGTATATATATCGCAGTTGTATGTACATATATTAATAAAATATACACCATGCGTGCATGTATGTACATACATTCAATAGCAATAATTTTTCTTCTGCTTCTCAGCATTGTATAAAATGTGCGCGTAGTAAATTGTGAAGTACTTCCGAAATCATTTACCAACTATCTGCAATGGCCAGGACACGCTCAAGTGGCTTCAAGTGCTCATCTCTGTGTGTGTGTGTGGGGGGGGTGTGTGTGTGCGCCTTTGTGTGTGTCTCAATGTTGACATACATTAGCCAAGTGCTGGCAATAAATTGCAGACGATTTTAGCCGCCTCCAAGCTCAGTGGGCGTAGCCAATATGAAGTGTTCGCAATTTAAATCTCAGCAGGCGGCGAGTGCTGTGACTAGTTTTAAGCGAATGTCCCTAAATCATTTTCTTATCGCCAGTCAAAGTAAACTTTTGATTGGAATTTGTTATCTCTAACTCACTCCCTCTCCATCTCTTTCTCTCTCTCTCGCTCTTTGCAGCCTGCTGTGCCAGGAGATCAACCAGGATGATTCGTTTAATCTGGAATATCGCGGGCCGGTCATTATGAAAGGCAAGCCGACGCCAATGGACTGCTGGTTCCTGACACGTGCCAGCAGCGCCCTAAATGCCAGCAGCAGCGGCAACGGCAGCCTCGACTCGCCGCAGCTGCAGCCCACAACGCCGACGGCCACATCGCAGCGCCTGATGATGGGCTTGGGCCATGCCCCAGTCTCACGTACGTCCTCGGCGAGCGGCAGCGGTGGCGGTGCTGGCGGTGGCGGTGGTAGCGGCGGTGCAGCCGCAACGGGTCCTGTGGTGCCACCAGATGCATAGGAAATGCAAATAAACTGTAAATCTACGTGCAACTCCTTGACTTCACCAGCCAAGCGACTATCTAACTGAATGTGTACATGAGTATGCGTGTGTGTGTGTGTGTGTGTGTGTGTGTGTGTGTGTTGTGACTGAGCCACTTAACCACTTCATTTCAATGCATTTGTCCTCTGCGTGTGTGTGCATCTGTGTGTGACTGTTGCTGCTGCTGCTGCTGTGGCTGCGACTCAAGAAGCTGGCATCGGGATGTGCTGTAGACGGATCGCTGTGCAAGGTAATTTATGTTAATGCTCTAACAACTGTAACCACCACACAAGAGATATATGGAATAGGCGCCAGAGTCAATGGGTGGCGCTCGCACAAGCTAGTTTACAAATGATTTACAATTCTTCAGCGATTACGCTGCGTATACGTAATTTATGGGCATATTTACAGGGCTTATTTGTACTGCATGAATCAAAGGCGCCTATCTGGTTTACAAAATTAGCATTATGTATCATTTCTATGCCGGCGCACTCCGTGGCTGGGGCCATTAGTTAAAGTGTTATGCGATTGGCTGCCGGGCCATAAAAGCGAAGCACATCCTGTACAAGTTTTCATGCTGTTTGCCCAAACGCCGCCGCTTCTGCCGTAAACTAGATAAGTCCAAAACAACTCAATATAAAAGCCATAATATGGCAAACAGTTAAATATATATATATGTATTTGTATGTCTATCTCTGCCTTGCAGTGGCAGCTGCCGGGACCAAGGCACGACACGCTTCTCTCACATTTTGTAGCATACTTTGCGGAGCAGCCGAAAGGATTGTCAACAGCAACGAGCAAAATGTTTGCATTTATCTTGTCTGTGTGTGTCTGTGTGTGTGTATTTGTTTTTTGTTTACAAAAGTTCGGCTAGCCTCTTTCTGCGCCTGTGACTGCAAGCGTGCTGTATATACATACATATATATCTATACACTTAGGATATCAGCAGTAGACCACAACAAAATGAGCCTTGCCATGAGCTAGAAAGAAAGAGCACCAAAGTTTAGGAATTTAACACATATTTTCATATCAAATATTTGGCAGAAGCAAACAACCGCAGAAGCAGAAAGGCTGCCATGCGAGAAACAACAGAACAAAAAAATGTAAATTTGCGAGGGCTGCCCGATAACTTGCCAATTATAGAGTATAATTGCAATGCAAATAGCAAAGTTTGTCTAATTACCAAAACAGGGAGAGAGAGAGAGAGAGAGAAAGAGAGAGAGAGAGAGATAGAGAGAGAAAGAATTATAATGGAATGGTCTGAATACTTTTAAAGAAATTAATTTCTTTATAATATTTCAATTATCCGTTATGCTTTATCTCTAGAACTTTTTGGGCCCATCTTGGGACTTTCAAATTATATCAAAAATGCCAAAAGGCAATCAGTGAATTAGCTTAAAAGTGTCCCTTAAAAGAAATACTAAGTTTAATAGATCTTAAAGAAGTATCAACATCTTAAATATATTTTTAGAAGGTTATGATATTCATTATATTATCTATCTCTTTGCCAAATAAGGAAACCCATTTATTTTTAATAAAAAATCATATCACGTATCTAGCAAACAAACACAAATCAAATATGTTATTTATGCGTTAACAGACAAGTTAACAGCTATGTTAAAAGTGTGACAAATGGGTGCCTGGAAAATGTCGGCGACCCTCGCGCTGTCATGTAACTCAAGTTTATCTTCAAGCCAACAAAACTTTGTTAATGTATATGAGCATTGAGACACAGGCACAACAAATCGCATTAAACGCCCAACAGACGACCCATGCACACAGATACACAAATACACAAACACACAGATGCACAGATACATTGGCAAATACTGGCGACAGATTTGGCGAGAGTTGCTCATAGACTTGCATACGGATTTGCTTGGAGTGTGTTCGTGTGTGGGCGTGGCATTTTATATTGGCTCGCAATGTCTGTTTATGGCCTCGATATGGCGACATTATCGTTAAATGCCAACAATAACAATAACAATAATAGCAACAACAATGCAATTTGATGACTTGCAGGCTGGAAGGCATTTTGATGATGATGCCATACAAATGTGTGTGTGTGTGTGTGTGTGTGAGTGCCTTTAACGATGGCTCGTTAGAAATGGATTAACATTGATTAGTTGTCGCATTTTTCTGCCTCTTCTATATATATTTCATTTTACTAGCGCACAAACAATAATTAGAAGGGTAAAAGAAACGCTTGGTAAGCACATTTCACATAAATTATATAAATCACATTTCCCTCTCGGTCAGCAGCTCATTTACATTCATAACGAATGCAGGCAGCACAAAAGATTCAAATTAAGGTCTTTAGCCAGAAATGGGATTGGTTTTGGGCAAAGAAAGTTTTCAGCTGCGCAACGGCCTGATCTAACTTGGATTAGGCTGCAAATATAAGCCCTGGCATTTTCTTTTATTTAATATCGTAAGATATTCGATGCGTATACCGGCTATGTGTATAATTTCTAACGAGACTTTAATGTAATGCAAGCTGAAATTATGAGGAAAATCTGTTTTTAAACTTGAAGACGAAAGCTTTGAATGAATGATAGATTTATTGTAGATGTAACTGTTAAGAAATGCTTAAAGTAGATAAAGTAAGATTTTTCTGTACAAGAGCTACTTCCCTTTCCAAACCTCTTCTGATTGCTTAATTAAAATACTTGTTATATAGAGAAGGCCTCTAAAAGTAACTCTTTATTCTGTCATAAAATCATATCATATTTCTTTCTTCATCCAAACTTCAAACGTCTTTAATATTGGTAGGTATTCAATGGAAAATTTAACAGCTACAAAAACTTTTTGCTTAAAGAGTTTGTCTCTTTTGAGATGAGCATAATCGAATATACACCTGTTCGTTACTTAGGGAAACACGGCATAAGTAAGCTTGTCTATCCTGCAGGAAACCATATTAAATATGCTTCGTTGGCTGAAAATTCTCGCAACACTTTCGTCACGCTGCCTGCTCCGAGCATCCGGTTGCCCCCAGCTGCTGCTTGCTGTTCCCTTCTAATAACGGCACTTTTTTCATATTTTTTCTCTCTCTATATATATATATATATATATATCTGTATATATATTTGGCATCCGGTTTATTTGGCCAGGATGTTGGCTCGAGCTGTCCGCTTTTGGCCTCTTTAAATTTGAAGTCCTTCAATCCTTGTATTTTTTCGATGGGCCTTCGATATGAATGAATGCTGTCGGCCCTTGGACACCCCATTTCTGTAGATGTAATTAATTTAGCTGAATGCACTTACCTATTCAGCATTATTCATTCGCTTTGACTGCGCCCACCAAAAACACTCTAATGAGCTCTTAATTAGGTTTGCGCGTCTTCGAACCCCTTGCCCCTCCCTCATTTATAATCTTTTCACCTGTTTTCAAACATAAATACCTATACATATATATAGTAAAATTTCTTTACATTTCCGTGCTGAATACAGTTCATATAGCTACTGTACTCTAGCCTTTCTATATCTACTTTATTTTCCCTTTTTATTTTCGCGCACAATTTGGTTTGCTGTTCGCGTCGCTCACTTTTCAAATACCCAAATGCAAATCCCGAAACCAATCAAATAAATATTTGCCTAACTAAATACAACATCGTCTCGCGCAGCCTTCGCCGTATCCCGCCCATGATTCAAGGTCGAGCCATATAAAAAATTTAGTTCAAATTGCAAGTGACAGGCTAAGCGGCTGCCACTGCTGCTGATGCTGCTTATACTTCTGGTTCGTCCTCCAGTTCGAGTTGGGTTTTTCTCATTAAAAATTCATAAAGATGGAAATTATGATTGCGATGAGCCGCCAACGACAAAATGTCAGAGGCAATGCTGCCTCTGCCTTTCAGTGGGCCAGAGGCAGGTGGGAATCGCAGATGGCACACAACAACAACAGAAAATAATGAAAAATTGCCATTGAATAGCTACCCTAGCTAGCCTTAAATACCCTAGCATTCTTATGCAAATGTTTCACATGAATTTATAGTTGAATAAGCCGATCCTTGATTTCCACAATAAGCTCTATTTTTGCATGATTATTCCATATGTAAGCCTTGCAGATTTTCTACTGGGCATATTTTGAATGGAAGTCAAGGGAATTTAGTAGGCATGATTTACAACATTTTTATTACATTTCGAATCATGCCCCGTTTCTTCTATGTTTCGCCCATCCCGGCAAACAACTTGGCATAACTAATATGCCCTGCAGCAGCCTTAAGGCCAGAGGCTGAGCCAGATAATAATATGTCTAACGTTAATGCTGATGACAACGACTATGTCAATGATGATAATGTGCTCGGGCGCTTCATCCGGTGCGGCCCACTCGCAGGCGTGACTTTTTAGAGAAAAATTACGCATACGCCGTGTGTGCAATGCCAAAATATGAACACGAGAGGAGAAAAAAAGGGCTGCAAGTGGCGACAAACATCTGGCGCATGTGTTGCGCATTCTAATCGAAATAACTCACACGTTGGCACTGCTGCGTGGCTCAAAAGGTCTGCCAGGAAGGGAGCTCAAAGGCACATTTTAGATTGAATTATTTTTGATGTCCTTCTCGAGAGAGCCAGCGCAACTCGAGGCCCTTTACTATTTACCTTACACTCAGGTACCATAGCTTCATTTCACTTGTGCAATCGTGGGCAAAAACTTTTGGGCCACGTTTTTAGTTTCGGTCCCAAAGTTGTTCCCTTTGATTATTGCAGGCGAAAAGTTGTATGGCTTCAACTCTGTGGCATTAATAAATGATACCTAGATGTGTCCATAAAGCGTCTCTCAGTTCACTCCAGTTCCCAGCTCCATTAAATATAGTTGTGTGGGTGTATGTGCATCAAAGTTAAGTTCCCATTGCGATTGTCAACTCAGTCCACAATTCAAATAAACTCACAGACAACATTGGGCTTACGCACACACTCACATTGAATCTCTGTGTAAATATGAGAGTCAGGACTTAATCGAAAACTCGGCACTAATTTCAATTAAAGTTGAAACGCCTGCAAACACGCACTGGAACGCACACCCGCCCGGCGACAATGCACGATTTAACAACAACATTAACTAAACGTCACACAGCCCCGCCTCCCCGCCTTGGCACATAGACAAACAGACAAACGGACGAGCGGACAGACAGAGAGACAGACAGACAGTCGACAAACAGACGCCTTTCATTTGCATAAATTGCCAAGGGCATGCGCATGCAGCCCGCACTCTGCCCCGCACTGCTGCAGCTGCTATGCCACAATTTGTTGCAGCTGCCACAAACACACACACACACACACACACACAGTCGTTGCAAGTGAATGCTGCCACGAAATGTTGCCTACAACAAATCAATTTGATTCGAGCTTAGCATATTTAATTGAACTACAATGCCTGTTACGGCCAGCCAGCTTGCGGTGCGCCCTCGCCCTCGCCAGCTGGCATACACTGCGCAAAATTGGCCATATGAATGTCCCATGATTGCAATATAAACAATATGAAATAAAATCCAGCTTTGAGGTTGCACCGACTATCAATTCGACCAGCTATTAAATTTGCCCACCATTCTGCCTCCCTTCCCTCCGTCTAACAGCTCTTTGTCAGTTTATATACCTGCTGCTTGCACCTGTGTACCCTTAGCTATTATGGCATGCATTTACGAATTGCTTGCATTCAACTAAATGTGAAATGAAAATTAAAAGCTGTGGCAAATTAATTAAATTGTATTATACAATAGACAAAAATGGTTTTAACAATAAGCTGCACAGAATCGTTTTGGGTTGAAAAGTTAATTAAAAGTGAGTGCAAAGTGCTTCTGCAATAATCAAAATGTTTAGCATTTAAATTCTCACAATTTCTATTTTATTCGGGACTTGGAAGAGATTTAAAATGTTAAATATATACAGGAATGAAAATTTTGAAAAATTGAAAATTTATAATATTTAATATATGAGAAATATATATTAAATATTTTTGTTAAATATTCGCACTTGAATTCTAACTTTTTTATACATTCAGAAGCAAACAAAATCATATTTAAATAAAAAAAAAATTTTATAAAAATTCCTAATAAATTCATCTAAAATTCTGATAAATAAACATTCATAAAAACATCTACTTAAAACCACACAAAAAGCTAAAGCAAACTAATTAGATTTGAGCTGCTGCGCAATAATTTTATTAAATTTCCTTTCAATTCCCCAGCGTAAAATGTCCAAAGCAAATTCCAATATAGCGGAAAAAAATAGAACAATTTTATTTATTTGTGCACAATTGCATTATAGATAGCGGATATCTTTGTGCTGGTTTTTGTTTCAGGTCCGCCTCAAAAGCGACGTGACACAAAAACCAACCAATATAGCAGAGCAGACACAAATAGATTGTAAAAGTGAGAAAAAAAGAACAAGTAGAGCAGCGGCCACAGCCACAATGAGGGCAGCGCTTGCAGCGTTTACAGGTTTACGGCTAAAGTTCCGCACAACCGGGCGTATGCGCAACATTTGGCATGAGCCAAAAGGCCAAAGCTCCGTGCAGTCAGACAGGGTCTCGGGGCGTGCATTTGATTTGTGGGCTATAAAGTTCGCGCCCGAGTTGTGATATTTACAATTTTAATTCAATTTTCTCCATGGCAGTCGATGTCCAGCCAACTAGAGGCCAAGCTCTACGAATGCCAGCTGTCCGCCCAAGTCAGTTGCTGCTGCCGTTGCTGCTGTGGCTGCTGCTGCTGCTGCTGCTATTTTTGCGCATTCGACTAATCGATAGTTTATGTGCCTTAGATGCAAGTACGTTTAAGCCAAATGGAGAGCGGGCCAGTCAATTCAATGACAGCTCTGCCCAAGGACACATGCCGTCCGCAAGGACCTCCGAGCATCGTGTTGTTGTTTAATTGTCTGTAAAATTGTTAAATTGCTTAGCGTGTCATTCTCTTACTATGTATGTGTGCGTGTCTGTGTCTGTGTGTGTGTGTTCGCCTGTCAACGGCTTACGGTTTACATGCATGTGCAATTACGATCAACCACTCAGTGCCACTCAGACCGCGCCCTCTCCTGAACCGCCCACGTATTCTCAATCCCAGCAATTGTCATGCATGAAAAATTTAAACGCTTTCGCACAATTTGTTCGCAGTGAACTTTACTGCAAATTTAATAACTTCCGTTTGACATTCGAAACAATTCTAAATTTAAAGATTTATAGAGCTTTGTATATAAATGTAGGTATTTGGGCAATGAGAGAGCTAATGAGAGTGACCAATGAATGATAATGACATCTCATACAATCTTCCCCCGCTTCCACTGCTTATATTAATTTAATATTCCACCGAAACTTTTAAATTTCGTTTTCTATTTTAATTTAGCGCTCAGCAAATATTCTTTTTGATATTTAGTACTTGGCCAGGCCAGATAAAAGACGTTTTGGCGGCCAGCAGAAAAAAAAAACGGTATTTTGGCCAATAAAACTGCTCAGCTAACGGTATAAATAAACGTCTCTTGGCAGACCTTTGAGCTTTCGCTGGTTTCTGTAGTGAAACTTTACGTGATTGCAATTTTTAATTTTCGACCGTCAGACGACGAGACGGACGCAAATAAAGATAACGGTATGCTCTGTTTGAACTGACTCTTTTCTTTCTTCTTCTTGATTCTTCATTTTTTTTTTTACTTTTTTATTTTTGGCAAACAAAAGTTGTTTAGAGCCTTTGTAGTTTGTTGTTGTTGTAGTTGTTGTAGTTGTTGTTCGGGCCACGCCGTTGGCATACGAAACGAGGCATACAACAAAAGTTGCCACGCTGCGGCCAGGTTTCAACTTTGACACTGACACTGTTGCCCCGGCTCTGTTTTGCTTGGCTCAATTCGGTTTCGCCTGCCTGTCCTGGCTCGGCTCGGCTTGGCAACGTAATTGGCCGTAAAGGGTTCAAATTGAATTGTAAGCGCATAGAAAGCCAGAAGCAGCAAAAAAAATAGGTAAACGCGCCGAGAGCAATGCAACATGACTGACTAGAAGGTGCTCTGTAATTAGCCGAAAGAGTATCGATAATGAAACGGACATCTCTCACAAGGTAATGCTTAACACTCACTTTCGTTCCATTCAAATGATAGAGATATATGTGAGAAAATGTTATAAATATATAGATAAATATATAGCCTAGCAAAACCCTGACACCCCTTAACCCACTTACCCATTCTAGAGGGTATAACAAAGAATAAAAACCAAAGCCAAAACAAACAGAGCCCAATAGAGCGCAAATAAAAGGCGCTGTCGTTTTGGGTTTTGATTTTTAATTCAACCGCATTTATGGCCAGGCTAAAAACTTTATGAACTTTTCATTTGCACAAGGCTTCAATTATATACAGATAAATGTACATATATATACTATATACATTACATATATATGCTCTTTTATCATTTCAGCAATCGACAGATTAAGGCAAGCCATATTGTAACTACTCGTCTGTTGTAATTAGTAAGTAGAGAGAGGTGTGTGTGTGTGTGCGAGTGTGTGAACGAGTATTTCAAACTGTATAAAAACCAAACAATAGAAAAGAAATCATAAATGAGTTAAATATATATATATATATATACATACATATATTTATGCGTCGAGGCTTTTATGAGTGTATTTTGTGAATAAGCTCGAGACGTGAGTTTATATTTATTTTTCTACTTTGTGATGGTTTCTTAGGCTGAACTTTTTGTGCTTTGTACTATAGATGTAATTTATGTAGGCTCTACTCAAACATACATACTATATGTAACTCTAACTCTGTATAAGTATGCTTAACAAGAACTTTATTGAAACTGCTAAAGAAAAGCTCATACGCAAAAAGAACTGTATAAACATGTCTATGAGTCCGTCAAGTAAGGCAAATATTCTAATCCACAAATTGGACACTAATTAAGCGAAACTTAACTCGTTAATAACTAAGTATACCACAAGGCACCAAATGTACGTTAGCAACTGTAGCACAGTCGATGGTTACCTAATGCTGAATATGCTGAATACGCTGAATGCTGAATACACTGAATGCTATTTACATGGAATCTATGGAATGGCTTTGCACCCAACTTCTATACAGGGCTACCGACCAGATAACCAAATGTTAGCTAACTCAAATGCACCAAAGACGAAACTTGTAATCAAGTAATCAAGTAACTAACCAGATAACCAAATAAAGTACCAATAATAAATACCAAATGAAGTACCAAATAAATACTCAATATATACAAGAATACCAAATAAATACGAAATATATATATATGTACATACATACATACGTGTATGTAATATCTACAGCAAACCAAAAGTCAAATATCTTAAGTAAATATAAAGCTAACCAAACGAATATAAAAACTAATTTGAGCGCATCCAGAACCAGTAATAAACAAAAACAAATACCTAAGTAAATATACTAAAATACTAAATATATTATTTGTGAAATTTCGTGTACATTTATTAAACTATTGGCAATATACATCTATAAGTGTTATGAAGACAAATCTCTACGAGTAAAACTATACTTAAAACTGAAAATAGCTTTATAGTTCTTAAGCCAGCCGATTCGAGGAGGAGATACAAGAAATACGCAAGCATTATAATCCCGAAATATCAACAGTGTAATCACAGCTATAGAAGGCGAAAAACATATGTATTTATAAGAAAACTAAATATATATATACAAGATAAAGCATCCATTAGATACTAAACTGTTCAGCTGAAAGAGTTCTATATAAGTCCTGTAAGAAATACATATATAGTTATGGCCATAGATCGCATAGAGCTGTTCGTTTGTTGCACGTGTTCTATAGAGAGAGTTGGGCGCAGTTTGAGAGAGTTCGCGGCAAGCTCGATATATTGTAAATTATGCAGGTAAAGCTGAAAGGGCATCTCTGTCTCTACTTATTCTCTCGAGAGTCTCTCCTTCTGTCTCTCACTCTCTTGCTCTACTTAATGTGTAAATGTTAAATATTTTAATAATATAATGATAACTAAATAAATAAATATATATATACATACATGCATATATGTAACCTAAACTAAATATTAATAAAAATATCTAATTGAACCCTGAAAGTTTTGAAAGTTGTTTTTATACTTGAATATATTGATGATATACATCGGAATTATTTTCTATACTTGCCGGTATTTATTCATGCACATTGTCTACTTTGAATAGTTTTTATTTTTTATATTTACTTTCTACATAAAAAGCCTTTCAGTTTAAAAATTGATTTGTAAATAAATATATATATTTATTATTTATATATATATATATATTTTTTTTTTTTCGGTAACAAACTTAAACATTCTATCAACTACATAAATAATAAATACTGCACATTTGATGTGGGCTTTAAATTTATTTTATATCGCGAGTCGACAGCTGACACAACCACAGAGATAAATCCCATCACACGATTTGCGTTATTCGCCTCATTAGCGTGCTAATCAAATCTGCTCATTCTCAATCTCGTTCGCAATCCCATTTCCATTTCCATTTGCATTCCCAGCCCCAGACCCATTCACATTCCCTCTCAGCACGCGCTTGGGGCGTTTCGGCAGCAAAGCGGCAGCTGCCTCCGCCTCCTCCTTGGCAATTCTTTCGCGTATCCAATAGCTGGCCCCACAGACCACCAGCAGCAGGCTGGGTATCACAATGAGCAGCACCATGCCCAGCGAGATGCTTGCCACACGTGCCGCGTGCTCTTCGTGACCTGTAAGATGTTGGCCAAATGGCGTCAAATAACAAAAGTTGATAGTCAAAATGGCGGCCTTAACTGAAACCATTTTTTTTTCTAGCTAAATATAAAGGCCAACAGATTGCGGTTAGCGTGTGCAATGCCCAGTAGCTTCTCAATATAATGAACAAATTTACTTTGACTATATTAGTTTATATTATTTTCTTTAAATATGCTAATCTCTAATCTCCGATCTCGATTCCTATTACTTGAATATTTTGTTGCATGTGAAAAACTATAGAATATACCTTCAAAGATCCACTACACGCTGAATATGTTGCTTGTCCAGCATATGAAATATACTCACAATATATTTCATAAATTTAACAACCATTCAGACGTATCATCCATTAGTGTTCCAAGTGATTCTAACTGGTTGCCTACTTCTGAGCGCAACTGTCGTGCGCGAGTGCTTCAAAGCCATGGCAGACATGACACACATTCCCAAGCACACACACACACACACATGCATTCCCACACCCACACACACACTGACGCATACATACTCACTCGCAGATAACTAACGGCAACTTGTCCATCAATTTGCTCAAGATTGATTGACAACAGCGTAATGCACACAATACATTTGCCAAGAGGCGTGGCAGTACGCCCTGTATGTCTATGTGTGTGTGAGTGTGTGTGTGTGCTAGAGAATGGGAGCGTGTCATGGCTCACGTCCAGGGCGGACACCAAAGCACGTGACAGTTGGCTCAAGATTAATGTCTTTGGCTCTGACCCCATTGCTTCGTTATAAATTTCGTAGCAATTTCTTCGCACTGCAAATGCACATAACACTGTGCAACAAAATATAGATCTAACTAATGAGATGAGATTAGCTTGCTATTATTATTGCTGCTGTTGAATAGAAATGGGAGAAGATATAAACTATCAACTATCAAGTCTTATATTATTTGTAGAGGAACTATAAACTGATTCAAGGACTTTTTGAAAGGTCCTGAACTAGTAGTCTAGAAACTGAGCCCATAATCAATTTATAAGCTACTAATCGATAAGTATCGATACAATTTTTAAAACTCATTCTCTTAATATTAAATAAAATATATTTCTCTTTCTCAGCTAACATTTCTTTCTTTTGCTGTCTAGTGTATATAGGGAATGCAATTCGGCAACGCTCGTTATGCAAATTATTACAGAAAATTGACATGCGATTCGCGCTAGTTGGCTTTAGGACAGGTACTTCAACCCAGCTAGCAGAATTTTACAATTTATATATATACTTTAGAGTTGATAACGAGAGATGTGAAGCGAAGTGTCAAGATTCATGTAACAATTGGCATTATCCGAGCACGCTATAATCTATAGATATAAAGAGCGAAAAGTACGTCTATTAACAAAGATTTTATTTATAAAATGATGAAAATTGCATAAAAATTGACGAAACACATTATTGTAATCGCTTAAGCTGATTATTCATGAGGTATTTAAATGAAAATTAGATGCGGTCTGGTCTATTTGAGCACAGCGTGGGAGGTATTTGCTTAAAGGTCATGGCAACAAAAACAAACCAACAACAAAAAATACTAATAAAGGTATTTTGATGACAGGTGGGGCAATTAGCAGAGTGTATAATAATTATTTAAGTTTAGATAAAAATATACATGTTATATATACGATATATGAAATTAGTTATACAAAATTTGAACTTTTTAGCCTGTGCAGGGAAGGCAAATGCTTGTGTGTGTGTGTGTGTGTGTGTGGGTGTGAGTGTGTGTAGGTGTGCGTGTGCTAAACCTCTGTGGATTTTTGCACCGAGGGTGTTGGCGATGTGGTGAAGGGCGGCGGCGAGGGCAACCCGCTGTCCTGCGTCAGTGTCGTTGTGGGCGCTACGCGCAGAGGCGTGGCAGTTGTTGTTGTTGCCGCCGGCACACCCGAGGCTGGCCTATTGTAGTACTGCGTGTTGCTGGGCAACACGGGCACGCCCCCAAAGCGATTCTGGGCCGCCGACTGGGGCGTATAGTTGATGGAGCTGGCTGCACTGGTGCGACTGTCGACCCCGCTGAACGTGGGGCTGTATTGCTGCTGGTGCAGCTGGTCGGCCTCCTCGGGCGAGAGCGGTTGATGATAGCCAGCCGGATGGATTTGACCAGTGTGCACGTCGGCCTCGTCGAAGTCGTCGTCCTCCTCCGGCTCGCGCTGACCCTCCTGCTGCTGGTCCAGTTCGGTGCCGGATGCGGAGCGCAGGGAGCGACGGCCGGTCTGCTTGGGTTTCTCACCTGTTGCGTGGGCAACGTTATTTTGATTAATGTAGGAAATATCCTTGGCTAGTTTTGTGCTAGTTCTATTATCACTACCTTCCGATGAGGTCACATCCTCGTCCTGCATGTCCAGATCCCATTTCTTAGCTGGAAAATCAATTTGCGGTTTGCCCGGTAATGGTTCGTTCGTGCGATATACTTTATCGTAGGACCTACTTTTTTTCAGCGTGCTCGCATCGGTATCGCTATCGTCCTCGGGATCGTAGTTCAGGACGCGCAAATTGCGCGCCGAACCGGCACGTGAGCGGGGCAGGGTCATCTGCCAGTGTGGATCCTCCTTCAGCTGCTTCTGACGATAGCGATAGACACCGCACACGATGCACAGCATCAATGGGCATATAACGAGCAGGATAATGCCAATTGCAATGAATGCGATACGACGCGTGTAATACACCTCACCTATGCGCAACACAAAACAAGGTCAGCTCAGACGGCTCAAGGCAAAATGGTTTCACTCAGATGCAAGCGGGAAGGTGAAAAACTTACGCAAACACTCCGTATAGCCATATTCGGGCAGATTCCAGAGGCCATTGGCCAGGCACTCGCGCCGCTGATCGCCGACCAGAATGAAGCCCTCGTTGCACTCAAAGGAGACCTTCGCACCGGGCATAAAGTCAAAGCTGAGCTTGCGTCCGAAGCGCGGCGTTTGCAGCACGCCGCAGGAGACAACGCGCCTGGAAGAGAGGCAAAGTAAAGTAAAGATTCTCTCTAGTTAAGAGTGGAGACTCACTTGGCGTTCTCGGCTTGCATGTTGACCAGACTGTCATAGTAGTTCTTGGTGAAGTGGGCCAAGTCTCGATTCAGCGTCATCGCATAATCATATTGACACTGCGCACACTCGCCGCACAGCTCCTCGGCACGCTCCAGGTCATAGCTGCGATTGCTGGGCAGGAAGTCGGCGGGGTCCATGACGAAGTTCGGCTGGAATGTGGCATTCGAGTAGTAGCTGGCCATGCGTCCGAACTCTCGCGTAAACAGCGCTGCGCCCACATTGGGCACATCCCGATCCGTCAGCATCCACTTGAGGCCAAAGTTGTTGTACAAGCTGCGCTGGTCGTTCAGGTTGATCGAGGCCACCTGGCCATTGGGCAGCGTGAAGTCGTCCATGGGATTGAAGCTCCAGTTGCCGAACAACCCCGCCGTTTTATTCTACAACAACAACAACAAAATCACATATTAATAGGGATGTTATCCTCTGCTGTGCGAACGACCTACAATAAATTTCCAGGGCAGAAAGACGCGTCCCGTCATGAAGCCCTCGTTCTCAACCACCTCCACGCCAATGCCCGCATCGAATTGCACGACCACCTGCGACTGGTTGAGCAGATAGGTGGGCGTATAGACCGTGACGCCATCAAAGTGCTGGAACTTCAAGCTCTCGCGATCGAAGTACACCTTGCGTCCGTCCGCCAGGACATCCAGGCGATAGCGCCAGCGGGCGTGCAGCGGACGCAGACGCACCTCGATCGTGGTAGTCGTATTGCCGCGCATGGCCAGGGCAGTCAGCTGGGTGGCCATCACCTGGCCATAGTAGTTGGGCGGCAGCTGCTGGAAGCGGCCCTGCACCTCGAAGCGTTCGCTCTCGTCCGTGCTGCGAGCGAGCACGAATTCGCCCAGGCCATTGAACGTGTAGGCGCTGCCATCGAAGGTGATCAAGTGGGGGTCGCCGAAGACGCCAGCAATGCCAGGCGCCTGGTAGGCAACACAATCCTGCGAGGGGCGACGCTCGAAGCGATAGGTCTCACAGCCCACGGACTGCTCCTCCTGCCAGAAGCAGCAGGAGTAGAACGGACGCATGTCATGGAACCACATGGACAGCGAGGGCACCTTGCTGGCCTCATTCCAGGGCATCTTGCCCAGGTTGTGAATGCGACGCGGCCGCGAGCCCCACATCTGGTCATAGGTCAGCATCAGGAAGCCGTAGCGATCGTAGCAGCACTGCTGCTCAGCACCTTGGGCACTAAAGGGGGAGAAGGGAAATTAATGAAGTCGATTGGGAGAGTGGACAAATAAATTACTACTTACACTGGTGTTCCGCTGACCACGCAATGAATGGCACCACTGTGACGCAAGCAGCTAGGATTCGAGTCCTTGTCGCACTCACGGTCCGGTCGGAAGCGGCCCAGGTCGAGCACCGCCTGCTCCAGTGTGCAGGGGCACAGCGGCAGGTCGGCGGCAAAGTTTCTGCAATTTCACATTTCGATTAGTAATCTTACCCGAGCTAGGAGCTGAGCTCCCGAAACTCGTTCAGCCTTTAATAAGCAGAGCAGTTGCCATGACTTACCTGAGAAATCTGTCGGCGCGTATCCAATTATCGCACAGAGCACGAGGCCAGCGCTTGCCGTGCTTCTGCTCCCACTGCGGCGCCATGTACCAGGCCAGTGGAATCGGGCGGGACCATAGGGTGCTGTGAGAGTGAAACAATGGTGGATTAGCTAAGCACTCGCATTACTCATACGTCATGCTGGCCTTGTCAGCAATTGACAACGAAACTGTAAATGCTAATTGCATTTGCATGCACTGCATGCTCGAAACACCCAATTAAGGAGTACGGCTTAATAGGATTCGATTCACAAGATAATGGCATTAGCGGCCAGCCAATTGATGGCCCGATGCGAACAGCTCAAATTTATAAGCGCGCGTGTCGCTCATCAAATGTAAATTAAATTCGCGCAAACACACACACACACACACACAGACACAGATGCAACTAAAACGAAATGATATATGGGCTGATGCCACGTGCCCCATTGAAACTGTAGCACAGTCTAACGACACCCAAAGGTATCATAAACCAAAGCGCCCTAAGAAAAGAAAACAAAAGCAAACAAAAAAGTGAAGTGGAATCGTTGGCGAGTCGAAGATTGAATGCTCTTTGAAGTGGAATTGACTTTGCTTAGGGTAAAAGCTAAAATCTAACACAATATCTACATAAATTCATTACTTGCTTCAGTCTTGCTTTAGAACTGTTTTATAAATCATGTGTAGCATAAGCTTTATATGAATGTAAAAAGGGAAATAAGGCTCAATCAAATAAAACTATTTTATTGTTATTTTTTTTTAGTCAAGTTTAGTTTGTTTATACTCGATTTAATCACAAATGTTGCATACCGATAGCTACACGTCTTATATACAGCTCACATTGCCATCACTATTTTGTTAACAGTGTCATATCTAGCTTTAACAGTGGTTGAAGACTTGACTAGACTAGAGTTGTCTCACTCTAACACATGATCTCAAAGGAGGAAGGAAATTAACCTTGATGAATTATGAAATTAATTCAAAATAAAGAAACCCGGCCTGTTTCTAGCAAATGAATACAAAGTTAAGCCGCTCACAGAAACTAAGTAACTTCAAGCTGGTTTGGCCAATTTAAGACTGCATGCTACGATTACAACTATAAAGTAAGACTTACAGACAAAGACATCAAACAGTTCTCCTTGACTGACCTACACAATTCATAGCATCATAATAACTTAAGAGACGCATTCAACTAAGATGCCTAAGCAGCACGCTGCTAAATATATTGAAATAATTATAGATCTAATCAGCTCAGGTCTAATCCATTGACACACTTCCAGGTATTGTCGGAGTACCTGGCTATTGTTGGCATTCGCAGTAATTCACTTGCAGTGCGATTAGCTCGACCATTTTCAGGAATTTCATTGCCTCTTAAATGTTATTACGAGCGTCTTTTGTGAGCTTTTAACTGCTGCAAATACTTCAAGTTTAAGTGCGAAATAATTACAAGGGCGTAATGCAAAAACAAGTTCGAAAGCTGTGGATGAAGTGTATTCGATGAGCAGATACCCTGTTGGTAGCTGAACTATAAGGGAATCTACTCTATATATCTATATATCTAATGAAGACAGGTTTAAATTTCAACAACAAAAAAACTTCTTACCCTACACTTTCATGTTTACAGGGTATGCGAGTAGCACAAGGAGTTTTGTTCTAAAGAGAGCTATGCAAATTAGCAAAAAACGAGCGAGCGAGTGAGTGGGCGAGCGGGCGCTCGTCAAGCACGCCAACAATTTGAGCTGGCTGTGACCATGGTGAACACATTTCACTTAGCTATTGATTAGCCATCTCGTCTAATTACAAAGTGTCATAATAAGCCATCTATGACTGAGCCAACTGAGCCACAGTCAGAGCCAGAGCCAGAGCCAGAGCCAGAGCCAGAAGAGGAGTCAATGCCAGTGGTTACTGATTGGTCCCCAAAGACGTGAGGACGAGCTATGTGGCTGCACACAGCACTCTGCAATTGCTGTGGTAAATTGAATAAAAATACGAGCAGCACTGGGGAGGGGCCGAAGCCGGCTAGCAGCTGACACAGCTGAAAGTCAATTAAAATATAATAAACAGTGGCCCAGCCAGCCAACGGAGCGTATGAGCAGCAAGAGACAGCACTTAAAGACTAGACAAAGATCCAAACTCGCATTGCCGCATTTTTTAACTAATCGAATTAGGCGGCTTTTTGCTATAGAACAGAAATTTCCATTAGCTAAAGTAAATATTTAAGAAAAAACTCATTCGATTGGGTACAAATAAAAAACTCAAAATTGAATACTTAAATGTAAAGAAAAGTTTGTGAGATGAGGCAACTGTTGATTCCCTTCCAGCATCAATAAAAGATAAATATTTCTAAAAAGTTTAAGCGAAAGATTTCAACTACTTACGGACTGAGCGCCAGGTTGGAGTACTGAGCCGGCTGGGTGAGATTGATTTGAAGGAAGCCGAACTGCATGTCATTGTTGATGTTGTGGCGGTTTATATAGTTGGAGGGCGTGATGACATAGCTGCCGGAATTGGTCAGGCTGGCCTCGATCACATCAATGTACTCCAGCTGCGGCTCGATCTTTGTCTCGCGGTAGCCCCACAGGGAGATCATGACATTGGCATTCAGATTGGAGGTCAAGTTGAAGGCGTTCCAGCTGATGCGAATCTCGCTGGGATTGCGCTTGTGCACATCGTCGGTGGCAAAGAAGATCTTCTCGGTGGCGGCGGCAGGTGTCTCCACAAAGTACTTGCCGCGCCACTTGAAGCGCTGCGTGCCCACGGAGATCTGGAAGCGGATGTAGCCCTCGGCCTTGAGGAAGGGCTGCACGCAAATCACACGATTGCGATCCACATAGGTGCCCAGCACAGACTCCGTGTCGAAGTGGCAGGTAACGCGTATGTTCGGGTCAAAGCAGGGTCCCGTTATGTTCACCACCTGCCCGCCCAGCATGTTGCCCGACTCGGGCGCAAATGTCAGCGGCAGAAGCGCAGCATCTGCAATAGGTAGAAGCCATAATTAAAGCAAAACTGAAAATCGACAAAGCCCATTAATCATACGCACCGATATCCTTGTTGCACGACCCAATCAAAATCTGTTCGTCGATGCGGAATATATGCCGTCCAGGGAATCCGTTGCCCCAGCCCCGATTCGCCAAGTCCCGTATGACCATGTTCTGGCTGTACGGCTTATACTCATAGGCCTGAGTGCCGTTGCCAGCATTGAAGCCGACCTACATGAGCAGATATGCAAATCGATATTAATATCCAGCCGCAATTAAATTGTAATTAGTAGCCAACTCGAACAACTCGATTCGATTTTGTGTAACGCTCGGCCAAAGAGCAGCAATTTAGCCAACAACTTGTTGACCATTATGTTGCCAAAGTGCGTTTAATTATAATTTGTAAGTTGCCATCAACAACATACACACCGCAAAGATACAGTAGAGTGCAGAAAAGTTATGGCTGTGACGACTAAGCAATGCGCTACTCTCAGTTGATAGAAAATTGGAGATAAATATAATGATATATATGTATGTATATATGCATAAAAAATATTGTTTTAAATCGATATTCACTATATATATTTATTATAATATACTCATTCATTCATATTTATTTATCATATATTTCTGATATATGTATCCCTTATCTATATCTATATCATTTTATTAGCTTATCTCCCATTACTTTTCCATCTTCATTTATGCTCAGTTCGATGGCCTTAAATTTTCCCTCTTTATCTTCCGTTTAATTGCAACCTGGCCAAATTCATTAAACTAATATGCCCTTTTTGTTAAGCCTTATCTATATGCATTGTCATAATAATTTCCTTGCCAGCCATTTATAGCAGTAGACTTTAGAAATGGAATTGAATGCCATAAAACAATTCGATTGAATTAGAAATTATTTGAATATAAACTCACACACCCATACACCCACACACCCATACACCCACACACACTCACACACTTGGCTACATGCTTGAGCATTCTAACGAAATGCCTGCCCACATAATTTCACTCAGGGCCAGCACATGCACGAGCATATATGTTATAATATCTGGAGAAAAAATGTTCTGCGAAAATTCAGTTAACAAAGCCGAACATGAAAGCGCTTGACAAAGGGAGAAGCTGCCAACGTGCACCTAAAGTGCAATGGAAAACTTTACCGTTGCCTGGCAGCCGTTAATTAAAATCGCGTCGCTTGTAGCTTAAAAGCCGTGCGTGTGCGAAAATTTGTGGAAATTTTTCATTATGTAATTTCTAAATTAGGTGCGACCCAAAACGCATGCCAAAGCGTGTTGTTTAATTAGAGTGCTTCAATAGAATTTATCCTATTTGCGAGACTTACGAATGCGGGCACGCCGCCCTCGCCCTTGGTCGTATCGCCGCCTGCCTCAGTGTGCGAGAGCCAATTGAGAACTGCATAGTTGAAGATGACATAGGTGTAGACTTCATCGGTGGCCAGGACCATTTGGAAAGTGTTTGTCTACAAAAGTCGCGGGGGGGGGGGGGGGTGGAGAAGAGAAGGAATGTTGTTAGTAAAAAGAAATAATAATAATAATAATAAGCCAGCTATGGCTGAGTGCCGTTAGCTTTCTTGCTGCCATTCGCACACAATTAACTTGCGCAGAAAAGTATGCTATGAATTTTTTTGTGAAATTGTTTTGAATGCAATTGCTAGCAAAAATAACTTTTAGTAATTGCAATCGTTAACAAAGTGAAATGAATGTTTTTTGTTTCTTTTTATGATGAAAAGATTCCATAGGGAATATCATTGTAACAGAGTTTTAATATATATAAATCATGTTAATATTAAAGAGAGCATCTCACATTCATCTCTGTCTTATTTCGCTCAACTTACCGTGAAGAGTGAGTTATCAATGCCGCCGGCAAAGGAGACATTCTTCCAGGTGGCGATCACCACGTGCTTGGGCACAAAGGTATCAGCGCCCACAACGCCCGTGCGTATGTCCCACATTGTGCGTTCACGCACCTCGACGCCGAAGCGGTCCGTGCGTCCCATCAGATCACGTACCACGCTGCAAACACAAATAAATATGAATTTATAAGTATGTGAATGTGTGAGCAGTGAGTAATAAGCGCACAGCTGAATGGGCCGAAATCAAATCAGCCGGGCAGAGCAGATGCTATTCGGATTTGGCAGGCCAGATGATAAATGGACTTGATGTTTGGCATATAAATCAGCAAACTCCTGCGCTATCCATATGAATATATATGTATACATATAAAGTCTTCAAATGTGAGCCCAGCCACCATGGCGTATGATTCATATTCCTTAATTATTCATTACGTATATGCGAATGAGCATTACGTCTTTGTTTTCAACTTCCATTTAAAATTCGTATTTTTTGCAAAAAAGAAAAACAGAATCATTTTCTCTCGAGAAGACAATTAAGAGATGCCAATTGCAATCAGAATTTCTTTAGCCTTCATATCTCATGTACTCGAATAGACCAAATTGCAGACATGCTTCGCTTTCGGTCTGTTCTATTTATGAAGTCAGTTTTGGCCTGCCATAGAATGGTTGCTCTCGCTCTCTCTCTTTCTCTATTTGGTATGCCTCGCAGAATGTCTAAACTTAATTGCTTTTTCGCTGCGTATGAATTCTTTAATGGTTGATACAACTTTTTATGGGTATTTTATTTAAATTTGAAGCATTTACGATTTCACTTTCTCATGGCAGACAAAAGTAAAAAGCTGATAAACGAACTGTATTGCAATTAAATGAAATTCAAAATATTTATGGCAAACGTAGTGAAATATTTGTGCAACGGCGCCAGCATTGATAAATGCTTGCGTTATTTGCATGCAGGCAACAATTTATTGATTTTGTTGATTTAAACAGCAGCAGCCGCTCGACATTGTGATGCATGTAAACAACAGGCACAGAGTGGGCCGATATTCATTTTAGTTTTGTTTCTTTCGGTTGTGCAGCGTGTCCATGAATGAACATGCATTCATCACGCATGTGAGCAGCTGCGAGGCGCACGCGGCGTATGCGCAATGTTTATTTATTAACACATCGACGCGTTCACAAAATGCAAATAATATATGTAAAAGTGCAATAAATGCGCATCAAATGCACACGAGAATAAGAAACTTATTAACATATATCCTATTACTCTATATCGCACATCCGATGTCTATTGTACACACGCACACACTTGCACACACACTCATACACTCATACAGCTGATGCAATTATGGCTCTCATAAATTATAACTGACAGCAGCTGGCAATCGAAAATAAATTGCATTTCGGCCTCAACTGACTGAAAACACATGCTGTCCACATTGTTAGCGCAACCAGCTACCAACATGGCCAAAAAAAAAGAAGCATACACGTACACACACACACACAGGCACAAGCGAAAATGGCTAACAGCAGCCGCACGAAATGCCAGCATGTAAATATAGATGCCATAACTGGCAGGCAGTATGCGCCCAGCAGATATCTAGTAAGTGCCCGAAAGAAGTTTGCATAAATTGCACACAGAATTTCTTGCAATTTTCAAGAACCTTTTCAATTTTGGTTTAAATCTGCTAGAGGTGGGGGAAAAAGGAGCGAAAAATTTGATGGGAGTCTTTTATAATGGAAGAAGTAAAATTTAACTACTTTTACTAAACTAGAACTTTACCAGACTTGAAATAAGAACAAAAAACAATATGTATATATATAAATATTTAATTTACCTACTTAGAAAAAACGAGTGATATTTTGATATTATAATATAACTATTTTAATAAGCATTTATTTTGAATTTATCTACTTTTATATTACTACTAAATAAAAATGTAATTCTACTACTACAGAAAGAAATTGAGAAAGAAATAAATTGAGAATCAGCGCTTAACTTTAATACTAAGAGAACTTCCCATTTAATTAGAACTTGGGCGATTTAAATAAGCTAACGGAAAGTTAAGGGCTTCAAGGATGTGTTAAATGTTTTCTTTGTGTTTTTTAAGACGCTCCTATTAATTAGAATTGAGTCAATTTGTATTTTAAAATAAATGCATAACAATAAAATGCATAGAAATATTTTTTAAAACTAAGAATATGCTTAAACTTAATAAAGCCTGCTCTTATCAAAAGAATAATCCTGAAAATCTCCTGTCATATCTATGTATTATACCCCTTGAGCCGCTTGCATTTAAAGCAGCGCATATACAATTTTATATATGAAAAAAAAAGAATGCAAAAGAACGGCATGTTCAAAAAAACCGCACAGTAGAAACCTCATGCCACAAAGAGACAACTGCGCACAGACATACAAAAACCACACCACGCACACACACACACACACTCACACACAAAGGCAGCTGCACTTGCACTTGCATAGTTTATCATTTATGCACAGCCCCATGCCCATTGTGCAGGCTGCCTCCATCTTAGGCAGCTGTGCGCTTTTGCCATGAAACTTTAAATGTCTGCAATTGACATTCAAGCCAAAATAGAACAACAAAAAAATAACAGAAAAAACAATAATAATAAAAAGATAAAGCACAAAATTGTCACACGGCCTAAAAATGCGCGCGCAGCAGCCAAAAGCGAAGCGAGCTCTGCACGTGAAAGTAAGCCAAAAAGCTACAAGCACACAGACACACACACACACACACACAGAGAGATAGACACAGCTGTGAATGAGTGTAACAACAGTAATGGAATGTATGCATATATATATGTATATTATATATAGACAAAGTATATATGTAAAGAGCGCGTCGTGCTGCTCGCTTTGCTAGTCGTCAGCGTCAGTTTCAGGCCAGCCCACCTACGCCCTGTCAACTCGCTCCAGCAGCACTGCCTCTTGCCTCCTGCCTCTGCTCCCCTTGCATTTGGCGTGCCAGTTCTTGAACTGCGCCATTATGTACTTTATTGCATACATTTGGGCGCCGCCGCCACAGTTTTGTCTGCATTTTGGGCTGAAATGCCTGCTCCATGGCTGCTCTGCTCTCGCCGCCTTCAGCCAGCTGCCTCCACATCAACATCACTGACTTTTCTTTTGGCCCAGTTTCTCCCACTCTCCCACCCCCTCTCACTCTCTCTCTTTCTTTCTCTGTGTATGTGTGTGTGAAACAATGGCCGCACTTAAAGCAAATGGCGAAAATGGCAAAAATTGTATGCAAGCTGCAGCGAGCGTAGCCTTCGCATGCCTCGGACCAACCACAACTCAATTTCCTATATTGTATATATATATATTGTGAAATGAAAACATTTCCACAAAAGTTGCAAGAGTCAAAAACTTTATCAAAGTTTAAGCAAGTGAATTAAAAATCAATCAAATGGGAAATATCAACTGACTAATATGAGGTCAAACATAATGCGATTTTCCTGTTTTATTTACTTGCTTTTTTTGTATTTTTCTTGATGCCACGCCCACTGGGCATTAATGTTTTAATTGTGGCAGCAACGCCCACACTTGTGGCTGCCCTTGGCAAACAACAATTAAACGCTCAGCGCTGCTGATTTACACACTTGAAAGCTTTGCAAACACTTTTGAGGAAGTTTTACCAGCAAACAGCCCCATTCATTCAGAAGATACCCTAAGAAACACTGGGCATATTGATTTGCAGCAGAAACGTGTAACGTGTTTGGAAAGCGAGTGTGAATATTTGAGGAAAGTCAATAAGATGTGAGTGAAGGATCTATAAGCATCCTATATAAGATCAGTCTTTATGTTAGCTAATTCGTCTTAAAAATATAGAATCCTATCAACATGTCTCATTTTATACCCTATAATATTATACAGTGAGTGCATTCATGCCTTGCCTATACAAAAGCCGTTCTACTTTATTGTTGTTTAATTTGCGCTGCCAACAATTTGCGCGTATAATTGTGAGTGTGCATGTGTGTGTGTGCTTATGTATGCATGTGTGTGTAATTAAACCTGCGCTCATCACAAATTTAATGGTCAAGCTGCGTGTGAGAAGGCACTGAGGTATTTAGCTGCAAATGAAGTTCGCACTGAACAAGCGACTCACGAGGCGTATGCGTAATGCAGCTGCCAACAGTAAGCCGAATCTTCCCCCTTTCACCCAAGAGCTCATACTTCAGCTAATCCCCGGGTAGAGTGTTAACTATAAGCATGTAATTAAATTGATAGTCGCATATAAAAGTGAGCGGATGAATGCGTGAGTGTGCCAGAGTCTGTGTTTGTGTGTGTGTGTGTGTGGGTGTAAGCAAAGCCAAACGCTGTTAAGCGAGTGGAATTTACATAGCATGCCTGTCGAACAGACGCTGCTACATCGCTTCAGTTCAGCTCTTCAGTCAAGTTATTTAAATTAAATTCCTACGAGCGTTACACCCACGCACACACTTCAAAGTGCCGTCCAGCATTTTCTTTTCTTTTTTATTGTGCAGGACAATTAAATGTCAGAGGACGAAGCGCTCTCCCGCTGGAGGCCGACTAACCCATAAGCGAGCACTCGAACTGATGCATCTTTGACATATTGTCCAGAGCTGACTGAAAACTATCAAAGTGAAAATTGAAATGAAAATGTAAATGGGAACGGAAACGGAAATGGAAATGCATTCGGCGTGCCACAGCCATTGTCCAAGTCGCATGGTCGCAGTGCGCTCTCATTTCTCAATGTGTGTGTGTGTGCGTGTTTTTTTTTCTTTTTTCACTAAATTGCTCGCAACAAATGCGCTTTACAGCCCGTTAATTGCTTTGTGGCATCAATTTGTCAAACTGTGCCAGAATACACTGACATCAAAGGGCGACAAACATTAAAGACTGCGGGAAACATTAGCTAGAGCGGAGCATGAAAGCACATTAATGATATTATTAGTGGTAAATGAAATGGGAATATATAAAGAAAAAGAAATTAAAATGTAGCACGGGAAGATTTTAATAGTAATGCCCTACTGACAAAAAGTCAAGAAATAAATATATCTATATATTTATCCAAGTATCGTTAGCCACTCATAATCGAAAGAATAATTATCGATCGGACTAGAGGTCAATAAATAAATAATTAAAATGTATAAGATCCAGAAAGCAAATCTCTTGAAGGGCGAAGAGAAGAGATATCCAGATTAAGGTAACAACTGCATCTATCGAAAAATATCGATATAGACTCATATCGATATTATCATATCATATATCGATTATATCTATCGATATACATATATATACAATATAAAGCCTTTAAAGTACACTCAATATAGATAAAAAGTGTATATATACAGCTTTAGTGTATGCCAGAAATATTGATCCAATTCAACTTTTCGAATCTGCGCTCTCTATAACAAGTTTCCCAAATCCCCCTATGACTGCATATATGTACGTGCTCGCATCGCTTTCCCAGTTTCGGTCTCACTCTCAGCAATTGGGATGTTATTTATGTGGTCTATGTGCTATTTTTTAACCGCATTTTTTGTCCGTCAGCTAGGAACGTCTGAAATTTAAACAAGCCCCGACAAACTAGAGCGAGGCGGCTATAAATAAGCAGCCCTGGTTGTATCTGTCTGGCTTAAACATTGTTTGGGCAAATACACACAGAATGCTTTGCATATAGCCTCGAAGTGTGGGAGCCAGAGTCTCGTAATATATGCATAGGTCGACGCTAAGTGGATGGCAGCAGTGGACAACAGGGCGGCTGCTAATTAATGCGTTATATTTCTGGTAATTACAATCCAAAGCCAACAACTCGCAAAGTTTGAAAAGAAATTTGCATAAACAGCGAAAATAGCAACAACCAAAAAAAAAAAAGTTTTCAACTTTTTTGTATAAAATGCTGTGAATTTAATTATTCGAAATTAATATGAATAAAATATGCAAAAAACATATATAGCAAAATGCCAGCGCAGCGAATCTCCAATATATTGCATGCATATTCATTGCGCTGTCGCTACCTGCCCTTACCTGAGCTGGGGCTGCGGCTCTGCCGTGCCTCGAGGCCATCAAAAATGCAATACGAAGCCGAACAGCACCCCCCCCCCCCCCCCCCCCCCTGGCGACATTATGAAATTGACTCGTGTGTGATAGGCACGCGCTGAGATCAGGTGGAAATAGAGATGGCAATTTGGCCAGTGCCGAAGGATAAATGCTAGCCAAAAGTGAGAAGGAGAAGCGAGAAGAACTCGGCCGAGAAACGCCTTCATGTGCCAAGGTTAGTGGGAAAAGCAGAGCGAGTGTAAAACACTCGCAGCAAAGCGCAAAGGAATGCAATAAGTCGAGCAACGAGAGAAGCGAGAGAAGCGCTGCAAGCATGCCTGGACGGGCATTGCTCGAATGCCGCAGTGCAAAGCGCTCAAAGAAGCTGAGCTGAGACGTGCGGAGAGTGAGATGCAAGTAATAAGGATAATGCATTCAAATCAATTACAACCAATAGAAACTCAACGAGCTGTTCTATTATAGTCTGCAGAGCTTGGCTGGAATAACTTGATTTTGGCTATATTTTTGGCTGCAAACTAGCCAACACTAACTGCTGGCTGCCATTGCTCTGGCCGCCATTTTGTAATGGATGCACGCATAAATGAATGCTGAAATCAGCAACACTGACAGCTCAATGGGTAACAAATGGCAGCCAGAGCCAGATAGCCGAACCGAGCAAAAACCGGATCCGGTAAGAGCGAACAGGTAACAACGCAGCTGTGCAAACAATGCAAAATGCGGCAATAAATGACACTAACTAGTCAGCAACAATAACAGCATATATACAGCATACATATATAGATGTATACAATATGAATGCAGAGCATGCACTCACACACACGTAAAGCATGTGCAATCGGATATGGAGCGCTCGCATTGGCAAACACGCCTCACACAATCTGTGCTTAAAACAAATCAAGACGTGTCCACAGGCTGTACATGACTATGAGATGCTCTGGATGGGCAGCTAATGGAGCTGAAGAGAAGAAATACTGGGGAGGCGACACCAAATGGAATGCGAATAGAAGAAAAGTATATAAATGATGGATAGATCTTGTTGAATATACTCCCAAAGTATATATATTTTCTAATTTTGAGTTCAACTTGAAGATACTACGATTTAGATTAGATATTAATTTTATCTAATAGGCCTTTCTTTCAATATTGATTGCCATATTTTAATAATTTGATAGTAGATTAAATCTGTTAGTCTACAGTATCAAAAAAATGAATCAAAAATAATCAGACCAGAACAGATCTAGCTCATCTCATCTCAACTCAAATCCAATATACTCCACTTTAGACTCAAGAGCAGAGTATACCAAATGTAGTATAACTGTAAGCGCACGTATGGAAAGTGATTTTAAAAATGCAAATGGCATAAGGAACTAACAATAACTGTGATTAGAAATGGCAAAATGTAAACAAAGTAAAATATGCAACGACAGAGTGAATCAAAACTAACCGGAAATAGACGCCAGGAGTGCGCTGGTCCAGGTCCGAGGGATACTGGCGGCCCACGCGGCACTTGCTGAAGAAGATGCCGATGAAGGAGGGATCACGCTTGTGGGGCCAGTCCTTGATGGGGAAGACCAAGGGATAGGTCAGGTATTCGGGTGGGTCCGAGAACTCCAAGTAGCCGTTCAGCGAGAGCTAAGAATGGAAACAGAATATTAGAATATTGCTTGGCTCAGCAGCAAATTGTCAACTCACCCGAGTATAGTTGAAGCGGAAGCCGTAGAAGGGCATCTGGAAGTTCAGATTTTTGTGGAGCTGCGTCATCGAGGCGTGTATATCAAACTGATAATCGCCGCGTCCGCCGTAGCTGTCCTTGTCGAAGAACCAGTAGAGGAAGGTGGATCGCAGCTCGGCGAGGCGGGCGGGCGTGATGGTGTATCCGCCGGCGGCCGTCGAGGGCGTGTCCGGTGGCGCCACATTATTGTTGGGATCTGCCGGGCATAATGAAAATATGCAAAATACAAATATATACATACAGACATATTAGTATTACAGTCAAGTCTGCAGTAAGCCATTATAATAATTTCACATTTCAGCAGCTAATCCTATGAGATTACGTATTCAATTTCGCAAGAGGAGCACGCCGTGGACAGGCAGTGCCCTGTGGGTGGAGTCGGCAGCATTTCAATTTAGGCCCGTCGCATGCAACGCTCGGCACATAAACTGAATAACTTTGCACTTGCATTGCAATCTACGCCTTGCCGCATGCAACACCCCCCCCCCCCCCATGCCACTTGCCACGTGCCTAACTGCAGCCTCCTGCAGCTTCTTTCTGCTGACTCACTTACAAAATTGCTGCCTCGCTCCCAACTGCACTTGGCCATTAAAGGTCACAGTTAATATTCATTTCAGTTTTACCAACTTGCCAGCTACACTTTCTGGTGTTTCCCTTTTTTACTTTCTCGCCGACTTAACGTTGTACTCGCTCACAAATTGCTATGGGGTATATTGATTTTGTTTCACTTAGAACTTAACAGATTTAATACTCTTAGTTCATCTTCACGCTTTTGCTTTCTATCTATAGCTATAGTTGTATTCAGATTTATACCCTCTAATATATCTATAGGTATCCAGCGGTCACTTATACCCGCCTGGCGTGCGCTCACTCGTTTTTGCCATCGTTTCGGGCAGTTTGTCGTAATTTCCTTTCTTGTTTTTTATTTGCTCTTCGCGTTGTCTTCTTAAAGCAATTTAAGCCGACTAATGTCTGAGGGACACAAAAAGCAGCCACAGCAAGCCAAGGGCCTTAGACCAGGATATTCAAAGGATGTGAATCGCTCGTAGGCAAAAGCCTGTCTGTGGCTTTTGCCCGTTTTGCAGCTTCAACCCTTGGGCAATATCTTCTCAATTGAGAACTTTGTAGCTGAAACTATTTTCTGCATTTCAAAATACCTGGAAATTCTCCGAGAAATTGCAATTATGGAGTGCACGAAGTTTGTATTTCTATGCACAGAAATTTATAGAAATTAGTTACTACAAAAGTAGTGTTGGGGAATTCGAATATGGAACGATATTACATTAAAAATATGTTGATTAGGATGCTCTGCTGACAAAGAATATCTCAGGTCAATGGGTACCAAGAGAGGAAGTCATTATTGATTTTGTTTATTTTTAATATATTTATTCTCTAAAGACTCTGAGCATCGCACCGCCCATAAATCGGAATATATTTAGGTATAACCATATTTTTTTCGTATTTAAGTCAAACAGCAAAATTTTCTTGCTGTCTTATAATATTATTTATTGAAACTCTCGCCAAATAGAAGGTACTAAATGCATTTCTCAAGCAACTTATGTATGTTAATTTCGGTTTTATATTGCATTGGGAATCATATAAAATATATTTATATTAAAATATAATTGTTAAATAAATTCATATAAAATATTTATATTAAAATATAATTGATAAATTAAATCTTGGTCTTGCTTTGTAATATATTTTAATATATTTCATATTTTATTTGTTTAATTAATTGCTTCCTCCCTTTATTATAATCAATAAACAAATGAATTTCACCTTTGACAAATCCTCATTAATTGAGGCTATCAAGATTTCATACACGCTTCACTGAGGGCCAGTCCCCGGGCAGGGCTTAACCATTCAGTGGTCAATTAATGCATCGATTCCCACTGAGGCAACGATTTATTCATCCATTAAGCTCTGCCGTGCCCTGCTCCGGCGGGGCAGACAATTATTGAGTGCATTTCAATGATGATGATGATACATACATAAGTAGTATAATGCCCGATAATTGTTGATGGCAGTTGTGGCTAATTAATAGTCAGCCAGGTCGGCTGCCTAAGCTTGGGCCAGGTGCGCGTCCCTTTTCGAATTTGTTCCAGCTGCTTGAACTGTTTTTCGCGCAGCTGTCGCAGAATGGATCAGTTTTTAATCTATTTATGAATCAGTGTCGAGTTGACAGGCCATAAAATGTTATCCTGCCGCCGCTAATCCTTTTCGGGCAACACCACGATGAGTGCTGTAGCTGCTGTTGAAAAAAAAAAAAACACTCGTCGCTCAGGTAGGGCAGGGATTAGAGCTTGATTTATGGCCGCTTGGAAAATACGCAAAATTCGCGTGCGCTGCTCGCGATTCGAGGGAAATCTTGCACGGGTTTTCTTTTTTGCTGATACATTTTACCGGAATTCACATTTGCAGGCAAGTCAAATTTAGTGACCAAAATTAATCTGGGCAACTTTATAGTTAACTACCTGAAGTCTTGTGGCCAGCTGCGCTGCGCTGCGTTGCGCTGTGGCAGGTGGCAGGTAGATAGACATTGTGCTATATAAACTTGCAACACGGTCGCATGCAGCACATTCAACACGCAACACTCGACGCAAGATGAGCATCAGCACATTTAACTTTCAGTTCTACAATTACAAGCTGCCCGCCGCGATGCCGCAGCTGAATGCGGCCAACAGCTTCAGCGAGCTGGAAATGGACATTGACGAGGAGGAGGTGCAGCAGCTGCAGCAGACGCCGCCGCCGATTACATCCACCCCACTGCCGGCGCCGCCCGCCAAGCCCCGTTACACCAGCGCGCTGTCTTTGGCAGTCGGCAGCCCAGATGTCAGCCAAACGCCAACGCCAACGCCAACGCAATCGCTGCGTCCGCAGCTGCATCGACCGCAGAAGCGCTGGTCCATGGAATTGCGTGAAAAGGTCCTGGAAATGTCCAAGCGCAACAATGCCTCCGATGAGAAGCTGTCGTCGCCGCCGCAGCCACAGTCGCAGCCACAGCCACAGCCGCTGTCAGCGGATTGCAATGCCACATTCTGTGCCAGCAGCGAGCAGCCCGATGAGCCCGTCGCGGTGATCACGCGCAGCGTCAGCGACAAAATCAACTTCTTCAACAGGCTAACCAACACCTACGAGTCGTCCAGTGGCCCCAGCTCGAACAAGGGCAGCAATCACTTCATATCGCTGCTGCGATCGAGCCGGCCACAGGGCGTGGCCACCATGGGCAGCAATGGCGTGGTGCCGCCGCCAAAGCCCAAGCGTCTGGGCAGCATACCCTCGACGCCCACCAACACAACGGCGCAGCATTCCCTGTTTGCCACGCCCACTGCCAAGGCGCCCAGCAACGGAGGCGGCAGCATACAGCGGAAGAGCTCACTGCGCCGCAAGCCCTCAGTGGAGAAATCCCGAGCCACCATTGCTCGACAGAACTCAAATGCAACGCTACGACCGCAACGACATGCCATGATGGAGGACCTGAGCCTCGTAGTGCCCGTGCGGCTACGCATTGCCGAGTACGAGCAGCGCATCTCGATGAGTGCATAGTGCACATGAATGAACCCATTGACGCCACGCCCCACACCCTCCCCACACCCAACTGAGTCAATGGGATGGTGGATGCAAGGATCAAACTAGTGCAAGCTCCCAAGGATTAACTATTAACTAGCTCTTTAGTCATAGCCAAGTGTTCAACATATGCATAGGAATATACACATACGTACATATATATATATATATATATATATATATATATATATATATATATATATATATTTAAATGTAAATTTATGAAATTTTAAAATGTACAACATAACGAAATGCTTATAAATATAGAGAAAATAGAAACAGAAACAAGAAAAAATGTCTTTGAATTTTACAGTAGAATCTTATAGAGCAGTGTAATAGGATTCTAGACAATTATAAAAAATTGTTATCATTATTGCGGCAAATACTAGAATCAGTGGCGTAGCGAAGGGGGTGGAAAGTGTGCATAGCATTGTATATCCTATATATCTGCCTAATATGCTAGGGCAGTACAGTACAGTCTACTTTTGAATGCATTTTACCAGGTAAAATAGGTATAACAAATAATCATATGTAAACAAATATGAAACAATAAGCTCTCTTTCATATGCGGTAGAGTGTCGATAATATGTAAACTGCTATATCGAAAGAACCAATAAATCGAATAAATTCGATGCCCTTGAAGAAAAATAGTTTGAATTTCCGTGTAAATCGAAAAATAATAACCAAATGTGTGCCATAAAATAGCATATAAAATGCATTTACATATATTACATATACTTGAATATTATGTACTATGTATATGTATATCAGAGAAATTTGACATTGAATACGGTATTCTTCAATTAAAAACTTGGCTAAATCAAATGTATGTACAATATATACATATTTATTAAACAAGTCACCCTCATAGCTTTAGCTGCATATAGGTTAAGGACGCAGGCAAAATTTATATAAGAAAATTTAGTCATAATGTGCAACCAGATATGACTAACGTACAGGAAAAGCAGTTCATATATTTAATATCATATATAATATTATCAGCTTTGATTACAAGTTATCAAAACCGTTGTAAACTGAATCATTGAAAATATATACATAAAATAAGCCACACCTGTTTATATCAACCTGCACAAATTCTCGTTCTCTCACTCTCTTTATCTTTGTTCTCTCTAACTCTCTCTCTCTCTCTCTCTCTCTCACTCTCTCTCTCTTGTGCTCCCTTCTCTGATTTCACCTGTTTTGTTTGCCCAGCAATGGCACAACAATCGTTAGCTTTAAATACCTATACTGTTAGCTTTATCTTATCTGTTAGTAAAGACTGATGCCGTCCGTCCGTCCGTCGGCCCGCCCTATCGAGAGACAACCAAGCCATCGAGCAAATATTGGTTAGGCATGCAAGCCAAACTCCCTGCTCGCTGCTCGCTGCTCGCTGATAAGATAGTTGCACGTTCAACGCGGCGTATGAGTAATAATGAACTGAATCAGCAGCGACTGGTAGCTGCTGGCCCGTTACACTTACCCCAGTTGTAGCCAGTGGAATCCAAATCGTACAGCTCGCCCAGATAGTCAAAGGGCATGACTAGTGCACCGGATTTGGGCTGCGGTTTGAGGCCAGCCACGGTGAGGATGTCGTCGGTGCCGCGTTTGGAGGCAACGACGGCGGGTGGCGGGCTGACGGCTGTTTTGGCTTTAGCTGCGGGCGCCGGACTGGGCGTGGCTGCAGGCTTAGCGACTGCCTGTTTGGCGGCGGGTGCGGGTGCTGCTGCTGCTGCTGCTGCTGCTGCGACTGGCGCTGGTGCTGGCGGCGGCGGTGGCTCGATAATTTCCACAAATTCCACGGCCTGCGCCTTTTTGGAGGCTTTGTTCGCGTTTGCTGGCGCATTTATAATTTGATCTTCCACATCCGCTGAGATATTCTCATTGGCCAGCACATAGGCCATGAAGCCGCAGGCCAGCGCACAGACCACAAACAGTTTGAGGCGCATTTTCACAATTGCTGCGCCAAACACCTTTTGCTTATATTTTCGATTCGCTCGATTCGTAATTCGATTTTCGTTTTTCGTACTGAAAAATAGCATACATGGGCGAAAAGGATAATTGATTTATCAATTGTAGTTTTTCACTTTCAAAATAGATTTGTCACTTGATGACATCATCAGCAGACAGTCAGTCTTAGCGCACTTTACAACACTGCCAAACTAAAGTACAGCCAATTAATGGAACTATTATACAAAAAATATATTTGAATTTTCAGATTTTTTCACTGGCAAATTCTTATTTCGAAACCATTTTTTCACTTGATGATATCATCAGTAGTTTCTTATCAGCCACATACATATATTTATATATATTTTATTCCCATATCACTTAGCAGCACTACCAACCTTATAGACAGCTAAATAAGTACGTTCGTTAGGGCGCCACGCTCAGTTAAGACTGAAGTCGGGGCGTTGCCAAAACCTGTCGACTGCCTACACCTGTCACCGTTTTTTGTCTTTTTTTCCGATTGTGAAATCTTGAAGCACCGTTATCTCCTATGCTCCATAGCTATTGCGTGGGTTATCTTATCAGGTAAAACCGCCACGCACTGATAAGGCATTCCTCCGCCATTCGGCGCTCCACATTATGTTGGCCAGGTCGAATCGCCTGGGCTATTGTGCAAGTGTTTTTCGTTTCAAAATGCCTTTGTTTATTCAATGTTCTCTCATTAACGTGATTCAGTCTCTCTCTCCCTCTCTCTCGCTCTCTCGATCTCGCTGAGCGCGATTCTTATCTTTTGCTTCAGCTTTCGTTGACTTTAACGGCATTACGATTTGTGATTCATTGCCACTATGGTTAATCACCGTTATTCCTTACTCCATTGGCCATCCTCTGGCCCGCTAATATAATTATAGACAATGAGCCATGCAGCAACAACAACCTCGCATTTCCTGTCCATTTATGAATGAAATGAGCGTCACAGCAATCAACGCATTTAAGTTCGCCAAACAATGAAAATCGCATCAATTGGCCACCGCTTTACAATTATTTGTATCTAGCAGTTTTTGATAAATCGTGGGCATTTATTTAATTTTTTTTAAATTAATTTCAATCGATTTTGAGATAAATGCGCTCAGTTAATTAAAGTTTTATTATAAGCCAAAAGTTTCATTGGCGAAAGCGCAAAATCGTATTAAGCAACAATTAAATTGCATTTAACTTTTAATGAACATTTATATAGACCAGATATACATATTCATACATATTATATACACCCTAGCTTGGCATATGAATATCTGCTTTAACTTATATTCGTCAATTGATAAAATAATAGTCATTTCCGGATTCAATATCAAGTACAACGCTTGATTAGTCAATCTGAATAGATTGCATTTGGGGTAGGAGATTGTAGTTGAAATATTGAACTTGCGATACATTTCCGACTAGATTAGACTAAGAGATGCAATAGGAAACAATATGAGTAAAAGTTTAACATAGGATGTTATTGTTCTAAGTTTTATGAAACTTGATCCATATCATAGTACATTATACTCATAAGGAGGCCATAGCATAGCACAATTGTACAGTGGGAAAATCAACTGAGTCCCACCCAATAAACAAATAATAATAATAAATAATAAATAATAACAAAAAGATTAGTCAGAATATCTCAATCACATCAAAAACACAATTACGTTGCTATCCCTTCTAAAATGATCTCAAAACAATTAATCTCATTTAACAAAATCTGTGCGATCAAACTGCAAGCTCCAATTGGCCTCACAATATTTAATTTATTGCACAGCCCAAAAGTATGCAACGAAAAGTTCACAATCGTCTACGAATTGTGTATATACTCAAGTCAGCTGGAACATTCCCACAGCAAAGGCAGAAAGAGAGAGCACTACTTCCAGGCTGGACGCCAACTAAACAATGAGAAACTGAAATAGAAGAGAGAGCAAATTGACCTGTTTGTCTCTATATAAAAGAGCTCTGCTGATCATTTTGCTTATCAGCAAAGCAGAAGCCCAAGGGGGTCTTAAGCGAACGGAATGACTTTTAGTTCTGAGTCGAACGCGAGCGGCGGCAGTTGACAACGGGCATAAAAACAGCTGTGAAAAAGGCTTAATAAAATATACTACATATATCAGACAATAAAATGCTGCGAAACTTTGCGAGTGCGAGAAGTAAATTGGCCAGCAATTGGCCACGCCTACAGCGCAACTATCACAGCAAAGTGGGCGTGTGGGGCTATCGGCCGGTGGCCAAGCGCATCTTCAAAGGTATTATAAATAAACATAATAAAACGACGATTTATAAATTTGTACCTGAAAGTGAATTGTGCTACGAACTTAGAAGCGTAATCAGCTCCCAGCGAAAAGATTGCAGCTGCTTCCTTGATAATCTGGCTGTATAAAATTTCCAGTGTGTTGAGATAACAATCGTTTTTTTTTTTAGCAAGCCCCATTTGATAAGCCCAACGAAGCTAGAAACTACATATGTGAAATTGTGTTGTAAAATACTTTTCTGGCAGGCGCTGTCCACAGCCTCTGACCAATTCTGTTAATGTCGTGTTTGTCTGTTTATCAATGCGTGTTTGAGTGCAGCCGCAAACCCTTCACCTACAAAAACAACAACAACAGCAATAAGAGCGACAAAGACAGCAGCCGCATACAAAAGCAACAACGCGAATTGCTGTGGACAAACCAAACACAAACAGAGGCCGCGCAACTCAAACATGTTCGATGCGCATGCAATTATCGGCTCGAAGCTCGAACACTTTGCATACGCACATCGAACATGTGTGCAGCAACCTGTTGCAGCCTGCGATTCAGTTTGTTTAAGTTTGCTTGAACAAAAATCTACAAAGTTTAAAGTAACATGTATTTATTTAAAACTCAGCTCAGAAGTTGACTAGACTCATTAAATTCAGCTTTAAAAAAAAATAATGAAGAAATTAATAGAATAAAATAAAATTTTTTTTATAAAGTAATTTTCTATTTAAACTTTTATACCTTTAACCCATGGAAAATTGAAAAATCGGGGTATTATGGGCTTGCTAAAGTGTATGTAACCGACTAGAGGAGGCGTGGCTAACCTCATAGATTATATACTCTAGATCCAGACTAGATTTAGCACTGTCTAACCGTTCGTCTATCCGTCCGTCTGTCCATCCGCATTTTCTTTCAACTGTCCGTCAATCTGCTCGTCCGCCTGTTCGTCAGTCGCGTCGGTCTCAGAAGCTATAAGATATAGTTTTAACTTAGTTTGATTTTATATCAAGTCAATCTCACATAAAAGCAAATCGTGTCGAGGTCAGGAAAGCAGTTTTTCCTAAGCTACGATTTTTTAATGGAAAACTAACATGACAGCAACGGGGTTTGCCAATAAGGTCAATCATTAGGCTCTGCCATCGGGCTAGCCCATGATTAAAACGATTTTCAGTTGCAGAAACGATGCCCAGCAAAGCAAACCACACGTACGCACATGAATACACATGCGTGTGTACCTGTGTATGCATACGTGTGGGCGCCTATACGTGTGTGTGTGTGTGGGCACAGCAAAATAACAAAGTTGTGCAAACAAGAGCCCAAAAATTGCGAATTGGACTTCTGAGTCTCTAGCCAGGACTTGGAGAGAACCACACAATTGGCAGTGCTCAGTGAATGGGGGAGGGCAGGTGTAAAGGTGTGAAGGGGCTAGGTGAGGACTCTTATCAACACGAGGCAAGTCAGTTTCTATTAACATGCAAAGAGAGATGGTGAGAAAGAGAGAGAGGTAGAATGAAAATGAGAATGAGAAAGGCACGCAATATGACAGAAAATAAACTGGACGTTTACACTCAGAAGCTTATGGATTGATAAGCTATACTTTAAGCGGGTTAAAATAAGCTTCCGTATTAGATAATGTATATGCAGAATATATGAAGCTTTGTTCATCGAACCAATAGTGCTGCACTGTAAATAGGCAACTCTGTTATAGCAATGCCAAACCCCTCGCCATTTCCCATCTATTTGAGTGTGAGCCGAACCCACCCGGATATTTCTCTATCTGTACGTGTTCACGGTGGCCAGCTTGATCAAATAGCGGCGAACAATGGCATGACTTTGACTGAAGCCAACTGGAATTTTGTTTGGCAGTTCCTTTGAGCACTTGTCCTGCACAACCTGCCGGACCACGACGACATGACTCAATTGCTTGTGGACCTGATGCTAGTTTATTGTATGACATCAGCTGCCAGCTGCGAACTGCGAGCTGCGAGCTGCACAATGCAGGCAGCGAGCTTCTTTTTAATTCAGTTGACAGCGTCCAATCAAACGGCCAACATCGGCTTGGATTTCTCACCCAACAACCTAGTGGCCATTGCTCAATGGATGGGATCAAGGACTTGCTTGCACTTTTTTATTGTACACCCTCTCCCTCCCTCTCTCTCTCTCTCTCTCTCTCTCTCTCTCTCTGTCTATCTGTCTCATATATAACTGTCAGGTTTGCCATTATGTCTGCGCTCTGCTCGTTGGTTCAATAATATTTGCACGCTCAAGATGAAATATCCTCGCCACAAATATCATTCATCATTCATTGTGTGCTTGACTTGCGCAACAGCAGCGGCAGGACCTGCATGTCCTGCCACAATAAATTGATTTATTACCAACAAAAAAAAAAAAAATAAATAAGGCGAAAAGAAATGTAATTTTGTCAACGCATTGCATAAATTGTTAAAGCATATTACGTTTTAATGCATTTTCAAGTAAGTGCTCGGAAAACTGTCCAATGATCCTGTCTGCCTGCGTCAAGCACTTCGTAATCGACTTAGAGTGCACACACACATGCATATATACACGCATACTCACATATCCTTTAAGCGGGATAACACTTTGGCACATAAACACCTAAGCAGCAACGAGCTATCAACGGCTTAGCCCCCGAAAAAAATGCCATAAAATAAAGGGAAACCCCATAAAAAACACACACACCAAATACCATATCTCACTTAAATATAGCTGCAAAGCAAACATTTATTTGCTCAACAACGAAGCTCAAATGCTCTTTAGACTCAATTTAATTTAATTTATTTTTGGCAAACAAATTTTAGCTATACATATCAAAGTCATTTTCGAAGTATACATATAGATATCATTTTTTCAATAAAGTCCTAAGACTTGCAAGAGCTAATATGCCCGCCTTGTCTTTGGTCGCGCATTGAACCTAAGCCCAAATGTTTATGCAATAAAAATAAAAAGCCAATAAATTCGCATAGGCCGCACACGTTTGCAATACATTTCGCTCTCCCTCTCCCTCTCTCTCTTTCTTTGTCTCTGTGCATTTACTTTTTAATAATTTATAACTGAGAATGAAAATATATGTATATATTGTCTACCCATCTGTTTCAGTGCCTGAGGAGGTGAAGGAGTCGCGCAATGCACAGGGCAACGTCTACCGCTGGGTGGAAGCATTTCGCCAGCATGGGCACAAATTGGCAGCCGTAAATCCCATCAGCATCAAAGTGT